TCCTGCTGAGAAACATTAATTCATTTCAAAAATGGCAAAGGCTCTAAATCTACCAGAAACCCTTAGAAATTGCAGCGAGACATGGCTGAGTAGCAAAGTAGTCTTGCTTTTTAGAAATACTTTTGTATAGTTTTAAACATAACTATAATAAATGATATAAAGATTTCCATTTCTTTTTAATCAGTTAAATAAGTACCTATTCAAAAACAAAAACAAAAATTACCTTGGGCAGAGACAAAAATATGGGCTTGGAGGCCGAATACTAGCTATGTCTCTGTAAAGACTTGGGCATGTTATTTACTATCTCTAAGCCATCGTTTAATTAATCTATAAAATGGGAGGGTTCATGTGATGACAAATTGAGAAAATGTCAATGAAGGTACCAGCATAAATTAGGCACGCAGTAAATGGCAGTAATTTTTAAAATATAAAAGAAATTGGTACATTTTATCATTAACACAGGTACACTTCTTGGATTATAGTAAAGATAGGTGTTGTGAAGAAGTACTTTATTTACTTTATAGTATTTTATTTGTTTGTTCACTATGTCACCATAACTTGGGATAATTGTTGTGATAATCTGAGTCTTTTTTTGTTTGTTAGTTTGTTTTTGTTATTTTCTGTTTTTTTTTTTTGCGCTACGCAGGCCTCTCACTGTTGTGACCTCTCCCATTGCGGAGCACAGGCTCCGGACGCGCAGGCTCAGCGGCCATGGCTCACGGGCCCAGCTGCTCTGGAGCATGTGGGATCTTCCCGGACCGGGGCACGAACCCGTGTCCCCTGCATCGGCAGGCGGACTCTCAACCACGGCGCCACCAGGGAAGCCCAATCTGAGTCTTTTGTAGGAGGATAGAAGACAACAAACTAGACAGAGTCAATCCTAGTCTTAACGTACTTGCAGGTACTACTCACCAACTCAGCCTGAAGGTATAATTTATATCTTGATCCACAGCCCTGGTTTTCATACATCACACATGATGTGCATATTTTCTCCTAGGATAATTTCATACTGAGTGTGAACCACTTACAAGATTTCTGTTCAAGAAATCCTGATTGGAAGAAATGAAATTTAGGAATGGGAGGATCCTTGTCTAAATCATTTACTTGGGCTGTGTTTACTAGCATATGGTTGGGCCACTATAAAATTATGTGTGAGTGTGTGGACCTCAACCTTACTCACTCTCCATTCCCTTTGTAAACCATAATAATTGATGGCCACTATAAGCTGAAGCTTAAAAGCCAAGAGGCAGCTCTCTTGTATATTCATACTCATCATCTCTTTCTGCCAGTTGAGTTAAATGCTTAACCTAGTGATTTCTATGTATTCCCCAATCTGTTTATACAAGTTCTAAGTAGAATTTATTTTATTATTGGTACTGTGGAATTTAATTAGCACTCAAACTATTGAGTTTTGAATGTAAAATAAGTTGTTTCCATGAAAAATTACTTGCATCCTTTGGAAAGGCACAATAAAACAAGATTGTGCGTGTGCGTGTGTGTGCGTGTGCATGTGTGTGTGTGTAGGAAGAGTAGTCAAGTTGGGCTAGACACAATGACTAAAAATTTGAGAATTAATAATAGAAACATATTTTTCTTACACTCAAATTGCTTTGCAGATTCCTGTGAGTTTTTCTTATACTTTAAAACAATTGAAAGTTATTGAAAGCAATTACTTTCATTAATAAACAAATATCTTTTCACAAAATAAGGAATGCTTTTGTTATACTTTAATAAAACAATTTATAATTGAAACTTATCAAGGGTGTTAAGGCTGTGCTATATGCAAGAAAGGGTATATGCCATTTCCAAATAATAGATGTATCCACATAGAAAAGCCCTTGATCCTATGTGAAAAATTTAGCCAATGAATATACGTTTACATATTTTAAGTAAAATGTTAAAGGTATATACACATTTTTCTATAAGTTCCCCTACATACACTTTAACCACATTTTCAATTAACCATAAAGCAATTGTTCTTGATGGTGGCATATAAGGCTTCTTGTGTGTGTGTGTGTGTGTGTGTGTGTGTGTGTGTGTGTGTGTGTGTGTGT